CAAAAGCAAGAATAGCTCCACAAACGTTGTTGGTGGCCAGGTGGTTGGATCCTCTGTGTTCTTGTGAAATCTTCTCGGTGCAGCGTCCATATACGGAACAAAACCTGTTTTTGATTAAGTTAATCTCATCCTAACATGACAATGATACCTTGGAACTACACCAGTCTTTCTTCTAATGTGTGATGACTGTAAGGTTTCTTCCATCCACTCGGTCAAAAGTTAAATCCAGAACAGGCTGTATCCACAAGTGCAAAGCGCAAAAAAAGAAAAAGGAAAAGTAATGAACAGTCCAGCAATTAGTCGTTGCCTTGAGAAAAAAAAAATGATATCCCACGATGGAAGATTTCTTCAAGTGAGTGTATGCCTATATAGATACTTCCAAAATACGTGTATCCATCATAACAGTGATGTACTTCCAGCTTCACGTGATTCCAGATTTTTTTTTTTAATTAAAGATAGATTCCATGTTGATTATAAAAAATATCCGCAAGCTCCCCAAGGTAGACTCCCACAAAATGTAATAAATCCACAACTCACCAGGATATTCCACACAGATGTAATATCCACATCAGATGTCAAACTCTCAATATATAGTTACCTTACCAAATGATAATGTGTAGTTAATTTACTTAGATCCAATGGGCAAGGCAAGTCAAATAGGATGAAAAGTGGAACGATCCCTAGATTACCTTTGTGTAACCCCTTGAGGCATCAATCCCTTACGGATACCCCCCACTATGTGTTTAGGTTTAACACCTGTGTGATACCTATATTTCCCTGGATTCGAAGGGGACGCCGTGTCCACTTACCCATCTATTCTCCGTTCATAACGTCCCTCTCTGGAGTGAAGGGACACAGGTGGCCCAAACACTGGACCAACCGTTCCCCTAGAGAATCCTGTAACATCTCGACTGCTCGAGGGAGAGCTGTCTTCCAGGCCCCGAACAGCACTTGGGACTGACCCGGGTTCATTGTAGTCAGTCCGAAGGTCTCTGTCCCCCATCTTGTTGACAGCATTGTGAGCCTTCTGTGCACTTTTGATATCCACAAAATCCACAAAGGCTGCAACACCCCCCTCTGAACCGCGCTTTCGCAGAACTTTAACACTCTCCACACGACCATACCTGAAATGGAGACAAAGAGGAAATTACATATACACCGGCCAAGAATATAGAATGTGCCAGTTTTTAATCAGCAAGCTTGCAAATGGCACTGACTTTGAAGGCAGGACTTTATGATAACGAACCAGAGACCACACATCAGAGGTGAACTCTCTGAACTTAAAAGTGCTAGCAATTGATTATACTGGATGATCACATTTGGGAATACTTGGAAAAAGAGGAAGTTCTAAGCAGTATTGATGACATTTCTATAGGACGTAGGATATGTAAAAAAAAAAAACGCACCATGTTTAAACAGCAGACCACTACCAGGGGTGTGCAGCAATAAATCCCATTAGCAGGAATGTTTGTTTTCCAACTACTTAAGTAGTGTTTACGCCGCGTAGCAAGAGATTAGACACCTAGTGTTAGCTACAAAGCTACAAATAACTCTTATGAACCCCGGAAGGCAGTTTGTGGTGTTGGTTTGTTTTACATTTAAGTACTAAAGGGTAGCAAAATCTGGTTTGCAGTTTACAATTTCACAAATGAACCCCAACAACACTGACTAACTTAGCTTAGTTTAAGCAGCTACACTTATGGGACCGGGCGTGAGGCAGCTCTCGTAAATTTCCTTCTATTAGCAATCGGTATATAACACTCTGACGACCAGATAAACAACAGAGTATGAGGTTTTTCCAGTGGCTAAACTAACCGAATGCATTTAATGCTACTCTGTGGTTAACGATAGCTGCCGTTAGGCTTGTACACATCGTGAAAACGTCTCGACTTCCCACAAAATGGTTGGTTGGGTGGAAGCTTGGTGGCTAGCGAATCCAGCTAATTGCTCCTTGGCGTTCACAAAAGTTCGAGGAATGTTATAAATCGTTCACCTTGAGGCCCGAGCGGCTCTGCTTCACATATGACTTCAATTTCCATCACCACGCTGCCAATAATGTGCATTCAGCACACGAGAAATAGCAATACTAGTAAAACGTAAAATGCTAACATTAGCTGTGTTAGCATTGATAGCAACCGCCTACCCTTCGTAATGTTAGTGAGACAGCTAGCGCGCGCTGTTTGGAAAACACGTAACCTACCGTTTAAAATGCTCCACGATTTTCTCCTCTCGAACGTGTTCGGGTAAATTTCCCACCCAGAGGTGTCTGGTTTCCCGAACCATCTTGCGCTACTCTTTCCCCCTCCACACACATATGATCTCGCACGTTTCTAATCCCTGCCGGTCGGAGGTCCGCCTGAACAAAATGAACGACCCGGGCCCGATGGCCCTGCTAACCGTTTAGCTCTAGCTGCTGCGTCCTCGATCTGTCTTGCGTGGACGCGCATCAACCTCGCTCTGGATGATTTTGGTTGCGAGACGCGCGTCCCCGCGATCCCTGTGAAGCAGACGGCAGGCAGCGGGCGATTTTCTCCCAGGGGGATCAGGTCGTGGAAAAGATTAATTAAAACAGCGAAAAGTAGAATTTTTAATCACTTTAACACGTTTATTTAAAAATTTGTAACAGTTGTTGACTTGTTGAATTAAAGTTAAACGAATTCTGTAATAACTACTATGTGAAATAGAATGTCACCAGTTTCATTCTTTGCAGCGCTCTATCGCTCTGCCAAACCGACAGATAAAGGCAGTGAAAAAATAGTCTGCTTTACAATGCAACGCCTTGTGAGTCCCATGCAGTCAGTGTTTTTCAGTTATTATTGGAATGTTTAGTGAAAACAAGGGCAACGCTAAAAATAAATGAATCTATTATATCTTATCGTAATCAAACTACTGTTTTGACCGTAAAAGGCCCAGAGGGTGCCAACAGAGGAAGTACTGCATGAGGAAGTCAGGACTGGCCGAGGAATATGCGAGGATGGTCCTGGACATGTATGAAGACAGCGGGACAGTGCGCTGTAGGAGTGACAGATGGGTTCAAAGTGGGGGTGGGATTACATCAGGGGTCTGCTCTTCTGGTTTGCTGTGGTAATGGAGAGGTTTGGTAGGAGTCTCAGTGGACTATGATGTTTGCAGACAACATTGTGATCCGTAGTGAGAGCAGGTAGCAGGCGGCAGAGAGCCTGGAGAGGTGGAGGTATGCTCTGGTGTCAAACAGATTGCGATCCCCTAGCTCATCTCTGTCCAAAAGTGGACTAAAATGACTTAACATCCAGCCTTTTTATGGGAAAAATGATACAGAATGTTAAAACGGAGTTAAACGGTTAATCATCCTTAATTCTAATCAAATTCTAATCAAGAATAAATCAAATCTATATGATGAGTAAGAAAATGTAGTTTGAGTAATGACATGATTTTGATGCCTGACTATTTCACCTAGATTCTGGGAGCATTGTTATGACTGTGCATGTCCTTGTCTCTCTCTCTCTGTGAATGAGAGCACTATGTAAACAGTGTGTAAAAGTCCTCATCGTGCATGATTCTGATTAAAATAAATTATATTAAGTATGCTGTGATTGACAAACACATTCATAAAGATAAAAAGTATATTCACATGTGATGTGATTTTTAACTTTGCCTTAAATTATCTGGGTGAAAAGTCCGAAAGAGAGAGAGAAACAACAGCACAGGACTCACGGAGCAAGCCTTCTGGAAGGAGGTACTCACGATAGTACTCACGAGTAGTCACTGCACATTGCTGATCCATGTCCACATTAAGTGGAATATCCCCCTAAAGTGCAACAGCTAAAATACCTCTAATTTACCTCTTTCATGTCATGTCTGTCTATTCCTCCACGTACCTGTACCACTGTTAAAGCTGCTATTCTTTATTTATGATAGTAGAACATATTCTTTTTATTCTTTTGTTGTATGACTGTAGTATGACTGTTTATTTGTCTGTATAAGCCAAGTTCAGCTGTACTTCAAATTTCATTGGAAGACCTTGTATGGAGGACTGCTTCCTTATTGAATTATATCGACAGAAATAAGTGTGCCAGTGGCCAGAGTGTGCCCATTCTCCTCTCTCATTCCTCCCAAGATCAATATTAGAAATCAGCATTAGCTCAGAGTACATTAATTAGTAGTATAAGTAGTATAATTCAAATGATTTGATTATTATTATTTGATTCATATTTTGCTTTCCTCCTTCTAAACTGCTTTAATAAAATATCCTGCATTCAAAAAGTCTAAATTGTGGAAGTTCCATTTTTAACCTTTTGTGAAACAGTAAAGGTAAACACTGTGTAAAAATATTGCACCTAGTTAAGGGTTCTTACAGGTTTCTCTAGCCTTAAAACTTAAGAGATCCTTGAGGTCTATTTTCCAGCCGCTTGTGGCAGATGGCTGCCCTCTCTGAGCCTGTTTCTGCTGGAAGTCTCTTCCTGTTAAAATAGTGTTTTTCCTTCCCCCCCATCACCATCACATCTGATTGTTAGGCTTTTCTCTCTAATATAGTACGGGCATTATCTTACAATAAAAAGCACATTGAGGCACCTGTTGTTGTTATTTTGCGCTATTTTGAGCTGTTGTTGATACCTGCAACATATTGCAGCCCCTGATTAACTAATGAAGAAAGTGAAGTGATAAACAGAAACAAAAATAACAAATATGTTTTTCATAAAACAATTTAATACATGTGTACGAGATATGAATTACACCAAGTTTTTTTTGAGATAGTGACTATAAATAAAGCAATTTCACTGGAATCCGATTGAGACTTTGATACTATGCTGGATAACTTTGTTTTATTAAGGCAGAAGACAATGTTAAAAACAGTCTGCTTGATGATTACTTCGTACTTGTTAGTGGTTTGTCTGCTTGGTTTGATGATGTAGATGCAGTTTGAAGGCGAATAGAGATAAAATATATTAGATTACTTTTCTATCCTTTTTTCAAGTTAAAGTTGATTATTTATATGTTTGTATAATGACTGAGAAACAGCATACTGACTGGGGTTCCATTTATTCTCGTACATTTTTTGTAAAGTGAGTTGCAGGAATATAATTGTTGCTTTTGTAGATTGTATTAAGTGCAAAATGATGAAAAAGAAGAAGGTAATCTTCAGAAAGCATGATATACTGTAAAAATATAGTTTTTCTCTAGTGAAGGAAGCATTTAAGGCATTTGCACATTCATTCATAAAGGCACATGCGCAGTCTCCCAGCTCTTTGTTCAGTTTTTTCTTGTCTTGCTTGCTGTTCACGTGGGATTAGTGCTGACCAGAAGCCAGGTTCAGGTGACAGGGCTTGCAAAGCATCTTCCCGTCTAAAGGATAACAGCCATGCTCGTTCGGTTCAGGAGACAGTTGGATGGCGCAGACCTGCACACAATATGAAGCAACATATTCCTGGTACTGAAATAATATCTGTCTCTGTGTTTGTATCCTTGTGAATGTGTCTGTGTAGTGAAGTGTTTCAGAATCAGAATACTTTATTAATCCCTAGGGAAATGATGACACACAAAACACCAACCTCACATCTGTAGCAGTTCTCATGGTAGGAACGCCCCAGACATTCAACTGTATAGCTGTCGGTACCATCTTCTTGTGGAATGATAAGCTGGTTACAGGCACTACACTTTGGAGCGTATTTCCTTTACAATGTTAGATGAAAAAGAAAAATTTATTACACTTGTAGACAAAGGGGTGGTTTATAATGCAACAAAAGCATTGTAATAACATGTCAAATGAAGTGGAACACAACTGTATATATTGATCCTTTACCTAAACCCTTCAAATAGTTGTTTCCCCTTCATACCTGTAATAGTCTTGAAGGCAGTAAACTTCTCCAACTTCTCCCTGGGCAAAAGCTTGCTCTCCAATTTGCCTCTTACATGTTGTGCAGGTGAAACAAGAAAGATGGTATGCTCGCTCGAGTGCGCGGATTATGTGATCTGTGATAGCCTCTCCACATGCCCAGCAGAGCTCCAAACTGGCCTAAGACATGGAGAAAGATACATCGTTAATTACCTTAAAAATTTACGTTTTAATCTGCTTTTTTTCTTTCTTTTTTTTGCATTGGGTCTGTTTCTGAAAATGTTTGAGGCATCAAACAGTGCAAGTTTACCAAGCTTGGTTGTTTTTATGAAAACATGAACCTGGACATAGATCTAGTTATTTGTCTTCTCTCAGACCCCCCCTGCCCTCATTTTACTCATCACATGTGATAATTTCAAGTGCTTGAGCATTTATTTACATGTTGTAAATATGAAAATCCCATCTGATCTGAATTGTTGGTCCAATTTGGGACTCACGATGAGGGGCCACACAGATATCCGTTTGCATGCTTCATGGCTTTTTTATTGCTCTCCAGTCTGTTGTAACACATCACGATGACAGATTTATCCAGCATTTTATGGGATTTTATGAAAATCTGGAGCTATTTTTGTTTGAAAGAAACTTTGATTTAATTTGACTTCCACAGACTTCCTGGATTCCCTCTCTTAACCACTGTTCTAAGGGTACAGGTGTATCACCATGCAGGCTCAGTAACTCTGCTGGTTGATTAGAGAATCAGTGGTCTCAAGCTGACTGGAGAGGAAATAGAGCAGGGAAATGGTTGCTTCAGCAATGAAGAACTTGCAAATAATTTGTCTTCACTTATAGTTTTAATGAATGTAGTGGAGAAAGACATTCTACTTGAATGGGGCGGCAGTGTCCAGCAGGTAGAGCAGGCTGTCTACTAACTGTAGGGTGGTGGTGGTTTGATCCCCGGCTCATGATGCATTCATCAGAGTGTGAATGTTAGACAGAGAGCGCTCAGGCTTAGAAAAAAATGTGTGTGTGTGTGTGTGTGTGTGTGTGTGTGTGTGTGTGTGTGTGTGTGTGTGTGTGAATGGGTGAATGAGGCTTGTAGTATAAAGAGTAGAAAGGCGCTGTATAAGAACCATTTACCAGTCCTGTGAAACATTCAAAAAAACAAAAAAACATGGCTTTGAGCTTTTTTTTTAACCACCTGAGACCCTGTGTCCTCATATGGGGATACATTTTGGGCTTTCTGCACCTTGTACTTCATTCTGCTCAGTATTTCAACACTTCAGAAATGTTCAGAAGTGGTGACATTGCTGTAAAATAAACCAGTTTTTAAAAAATCCTTTCTGTTCAACGGTGACTCATCAGGTCCAGCTAATCTCAAAAAGCTAGAAGAAACAGGAAAATTAAACCCAAAGAAGAGCTCAGGTTTCAGGAGGTTAAAGTTTGCATGTATATTCACAGCTTGGTTAACACGCTGCATTGCGCTACCTGGTAACAGTCTTCGCAGAGCGGGATCCCGGCCTTGTTGTAGTACTGTTTACCAGCCAGGGGAATGTGACAAGATCTACACTGGAAGCAGCCATCATGGTAAGTCCTGTTTAAGGCCTCTATCGCAGGTTCAGAAGGAGCCACTGGCTTTCGACAGAAGCCGCACAGATCTGCATTGTTCACACACACACACAGTCAAACCAGGTTATAATAATGTGGCACGCAGAGTGGCAAAATGTATAAAAAGAGATCAGGTTACCTTTGCTCTCTTTGTCTTGGCTGTTTTGGTGGATCCTGTGGATTTGGTCATCTGAGCTTAACCCACTAGATGGTGTTCTTGCTTTCACCTTAAATGTAAAGCGCATTATTAAACTGACAAGTTGAGTTTGGCCTACAGAGGCGAACTGCATAATTTAGCAGCGCTTGATTTTGAACACATGTGGGAGTTGTTTAAAAGTGGCTCTGAATGTGACAGGCGTAAGAAACACCAGAGTCATCCACAGCACATCATCAGGACCAAGCCACACAAACATTTTAATTTCACTGTGGTTTGAAGGTTTGGTTTAAAATGGGTGGTGAATACTATTTTTTTAATACTTCAAACATTTCAATTCTATTGAGTTTAACAGATTATTTCTAACCCTTTTCACCAGTCACATAAAGACTTTACCTTCTTTCGTGTAAAGACCTGCTGGTGATTCAAGGATGAGTTGTTGAGTTTAAGCGTTTTTAAAGGGAAACCTTTCAGCTTTTATTCAGTCAGTAAAATTCTCAGAAACCGGAGAGGAAGAAAGTAATTTAGCAGTCCCCCCCCCCAAACTGATCTTTGTCTACACAGACATGGAGCAATAAAGTTTTTGTTTATTTACGGGAGCAGTTTGGAAGTTGGTGATTTTGTGAAAGCAAGTGTGCACACTTTTAGTAAGATGGTCATATAAGAGCCCTGTTCTTTATGTTTTGGTGATGGCGCTTTACAGCCACTGTGAAAGGCTTGTGGAAAAGCTGTAGAAAGCTAATCCTTCATTGCAGACAAAATAATTACTCGTGTGTTTAAAATAATTTAAGGCATTTTTTTTAATAGGAAATTTGGCACCACGTTTTCGAAGCTGCAAACTGGAAGATTTTAAATGTCATTTGTTATAGTGACACTGTAAGATAAGTCTGCATACCTCTGGGTTGTAAACTGGCTGCTGGCCTGGGGTCACGGGGTGGGGGAAAGACGCTTGGGCTGGAGGAGGTGGTGGAAGTGCTGATTCTTCAGAGGGCAACTCTCCCGGACATAGAGGCGGTGCATCAGAGGGAGGGGGAGGAGGAGGGAAAAGCTCTGTTTGGCATGAGAACACAGTTTTAGATGATTTTGTAGCAGCATAGACAGCTGATTTAAAAAAAAAAACAGACTAATGACAAATTAGATGAAAAAACTGAATGTTTAATCACATGTACTGATGCGCTGTGCTGACATAGTTTTGGTCTACTTATCCTTTCAGAGTACATGTTTTAAAATCGAGACCCCCATGGCCCTTCACTGATTTTATTCTGGATCACTCATCACTTTAAATTCCCCATGCACTTTGGCCCTCCTGGTTGATACAGCAGTCTGCACAGTGACTTTTTGTTCACTGGTTCAGGTGTTACATGTTTGAGAGAAGATATGTAGGACATACATTTTACCTCAAGTTCAAGCGTATCTGTATAGTGTATATTTCCAGCACCTGATGTCAGTTTGACACTCTTGCTTTAGTAACTCTTGTCTAACGATAAAATATTTGTGTCCTGATGGGAGTTGTCTCTTCCAGGAAAAAACTGTCCTTATCCACGGGGCAGGAGGGTGTAAAACACGGTTTGATGAATCATGGTTTATGGCCTACACGTTCACCTTATGTCATCCCAATTTCATATCTCCATGAGAACCACCATCATAAAAAAAAGAAATAGATACAAATAGGGAACATCTTTTAGGAAAATCTGTTGATTCCTTCAGTAGAAGTCAAAGACTTGGAGGATCAATGCCAAGGAGAGCTGCAGCTGTTCTGGGGGCTCATAGTGACTGAAAAGCACATGGGCTCAGTTTCCCAGACATGAATTAAGCCTAGAAACTTTTCTGAGGAGATCCTCATTGATTTTTTTTTCTTTAAGTCTAGGACAAGGCTCAATCCCTGTCTGGGAAACGGGCTGGAAATTTTTTTTTGGCTCTTTTAAAAGTCTTTTAGATGTATAAAATCAATATTTTATATTTTGGGATCAGATATTTTGAAATGCAGGTCAGGAAATACATAAATTATCATTCTGATCTGGGGAGGACCCAATAAAGGGCCTTGCAGGGCCATTTTCTAATATTTTATAGATAGTCTTTTTAACTAAGAGAAAAAAATCAAGTATATAATAAATACCTGATGAACTCCTCTGGTCATTTTTTTCTTGAAGCTGTGTTTTGCCTGGTTCACGTTTGGGGGGATTGTGGCTCTGTGGGCCTGAAACCAGGGCCGAGGACCCCGCATTAGTCAAGCCTTTGATCTTTAGGCTGCCATTAGACTCTGACGGCGGTGACTTGTCCTCTCTGCTGTGCCTGAGGGCAGGTATGCTGTCACCTGGGCGGACTCTTACAGCAGGATGCAGTTTCTCTCTAGCCGGGGCACTGTGGGCTTGAAGGGCGGGCTGCTGCTGTGGGGTCACGGTGGCTCGGTGAGGAGAAGCCAGAGTGATGAAGACAGAAGAAACCACCCTTTTTGGTGGAGCTGCTGATGCCATGAATGTACAAAAGTCTCACGCAGCCTGAAAGGAAGACAGAAGAATAAACTCATGACTGCTTATAAACTCAGTTTATAATATCAGGCAACAATAAACTACAAGAACTCATACTGAAGACAAAACAGACATTTATTTCCTATCATGTTGATCTAATTTAATCTAGGTATAGTTGCACAGCTGTATTCGCCCGCTTACAGCTCTCATTAACCATAATGAATGGTACTAGAGTCAAAAAGCACAAATGTGAATCATCTGTATGCTGTAAAACCACTCACACCGGCTGTGTCACATACCTGGAAGAAAATGGGCTTTCTCTTTGCTTCTTTCTTCTTTCCCGTTCTGTATCTCCCAAACCTCTGGTTTGTTTTCTCTCCTATGAGCTGCCTCAGAGAGAAGACTTTACTCCGGTAGAGAGGGGCTGCTATCTGCAGAAGGCCACTCCTTTTCCTTCTGTACCTCCCTCCGTCAGTCGACCCCTCCTCCTCCTTCTCTGGCTGAATGACAACACCGCCTCCCTCCCGACCGTAAAAGGTGAACAGTTAATCTCGGACAAAGTGCAGTAAAAGACATGACACATTCATCTACTATGAAAACTTGGAAGGCTGCACACACACACACACACACACACACAGACAAGAGTGCATGAACGTAGACACACACCCACACTGAGTTATGCAACATGTGTGCACTCATACCAAAATCACACAGCCTTTTTTTCTTTCTTTTTTTTAACAAATGCAATACACAGTGCCATAAAGTTCCTCGTAAGGTTTTTACCCAGAAGCAAGCAGGCAGGCAGAGACACACACACACAAGCAAACTCCCAGTTCTTTATCTCTCTGCATGCCAGCAGGATGTGACTGTACCTGCCTTTTCCAGCAAATTTCTATCTCAAACTGCCCTCTTTTTCTCCCCTGTGCAGTTCTCCCTCATTGTTCTGTCAGCTTTATTTTCCCTACCTCCCTGGTTGAGTCTGCCTCTCTTTTTTCTTTTCCCTCTTTCCTTCGTCCCTTCCCCCACAACATTATATCACTTAAGCCCTGACTCTCTATCAGTGTCTCATGGCACTGCTTCCATTTGGGACACAGAGCAGAAAACACTGTCCGATAATAGGTGCTGGACTTCATCGGGAGCTTTTGTGCTCAGCTTTCCAGGACCAGCGGCATTACGGTGCAGTGAATCAGGGCATTGTGCAAGAGGAGATGTTGGTATATTAGGAGAAGGGGGGCAGGGGGGAGTACAGAGTGATGTCTATGGGAGCTATGAAGAAGTGCTTTGTTGTGTTTGCTGTTCCCCATCACAGTCAGTCTCAGTAATATCAGATGTGCTGATCAGCAAATATTATGATTACTCTCTTGAGCCAAAGCGTGTTTTGTCCCTCCTAAAAGTCAAACAGGAAGATGGAGCAAGAGACCGAGCGCTGAATAAAACTTTCCTGATTGATATGGGTCAGCCTGGAAGAAGAGAGGGAGAGGGAGGAATGCGCAGAGAGGGTTAACAGGAGATGGCGATGCGGAGAGTGATGGGGGTCTCTGTTGTTCCAGCTCTGTGGAAAGGAATGCTGCAGTGATGTCACGGCTGCAGGAGGGAGCATGCCTACTGATGACACAATCCCCAGACCTCCACGCTCCGCCTTCCAACAGCCCAAATCCTCATTAGACCCTCTGAACCTCCTCGTTGCTTTCAGCAGCTTGACTTTTCAATTTAATCACCAACACCACAGTGTCATTTTTATGTTTATGTGATTTCAGAGGGGTGGATTTTGCAGAACAGCAACAAAAGCTGAAAAGAATGAAAGGAAGTCAAAGGAACAGGAAGAAACATACAGATGGGAAAAAACAATTGCATGCTCACAAATACACTTTACACGCACACTGACTTTGTAAGTGCTAAGGCAGAAAAGTCAAGCTTTTACTCAGTAACGATTACTTTCATTAAATCTAAATGATGTTATGGGAGAGACAAAAAACGAAGCAGGAGACGGCAGCATGATCGGGCTGTTAGTCCTGAAAGATAAAGCTTCAAAACAGCTGATTCCTACAGTATTCACATTAACCCAGTTGGATATAGTTTCCTATCACCACCTCCTATGTGTCTTTTTCTTCTCTCTCTCTTTCTCTCCTTCGACAACTCTAGTTTGCAATGTAGGATTGTTTTGTTTCCAGATTTTTAAAAATCACTCAAGATTAACAGAACTCTGATCTGATGTTTGTGTTTGGAGTGCTCGTTTAACTTTCTGAGGCCTAAGTCATAACTGACAGCGATCCTAACCCTATGGAATCAATATGTTGGCCCGAGACTCAGCAAAAGTCTTGGTTCATATTTTGCTTCCAAGGAACTAGAGTTTTATTTTTAGTGGTCTTGAGCAATGTCTCGCCAGGATTTCTGAAAGTATTTTAAAGCTTTTCTTTGGACATTGGCTGCTTATTCACTCATTTTCAGCCCAATCTTTGTACCTGACCATCTTCACAGGATCTTTTAAAATCTTTAAACCACTGAACCTATAACTCATTCAAATACTGAAAAGCAGTGTTGTGTTTACACATAACAGATAACTTAGCAAAAAAAAAAAATCTTTAGGCACTTGTTTGACAGACATAAAATAGTATTTTTTTTGTTTGTTTCTTTGTTTTTATTTTAACCAATAAGGTGATTGTCAAGCGCTATTAGCTGAGCTCTCAGAATATCTCTACACTGTGTGTGGTGTATACTTGAAACATCTAAGGAAACTGGTCAAGTGTCAGGTCTAAAAACTACATTGAGCAGCACTGTATTTCAATGTTTGTTTGCACATTTCAATAAATTGCTGCACCCATTTTCCATTGTCCTAACAAAATCTAAAGAAACAAGATGTGACTCAATAGTTTTGCATATATATATATATATTTTTTAATTGTACTTCAAAGTCTTGGTAATCAGGGGACAAAACTAGCACATTTGTTCTAACTAGCACACACTGAATACTATTTAAACTAGTTAACCTCACTGGGTTAATGCCCTGATTACAGCCATCCTTTAATGAACACATCACCAGTTTCTCTTCAGTTCATATAACAATAAAATGTAAATAACTGAATATTTTATGAAAGAAAATCACAGTAAACTTCACTGAAACACTATTGAATTATTATAAATGAGCTGTAACTAATCAGTACTTCTACAGTTCTCCAAAGTCGTGTGATCAGATAAGTGCCAAAAGCTTCTCTGTTATAGTAGCGAGCACTTTTATTGTTTCAGTCTCTGAACACACCTGGCTCCCATCATTTAAAACACATTATGGGCGGCACAGTGGTTACCACTGTTGTCTCTCTTTATGTGGAGCTTACATGTTCTGTGCCGGTGTTGGTTCTCTCTGGATTCTTCCCACAGTCCAAAGGCAAGCAAGTAGGTCTCTCTGTGTTATCTTTGTGATAGACTGGCAAGCTGTCCGCCTCTCTCCCCATAAAAGCTGGGACAGACTCCAGCTCCCACACAAGCCTGACTTGGATTAGCGAAAAAAATAAATGGCTGGACATTAAATACTAAATCAGCTTATTTTTTTTATATTATTTCTGTTTAATATAAGACCCCAAACAACAAGAAGTCAATTAAAGCCTTTAAGCACAATATTATTTTACAACACAAAGTAATAGTGCATCTTTACAGGTGAGACAGTCAATGATAATCATTGTGGTGGAGTTTGAGTGCACTGTTATCTGCCACGTGATGATGTTTTAATTGTGGTTCCTTTGTGACCGGAGCGCTCGTCACGTCTGCTCAAGCTTGATTCCTCTTTTTCTTCCTGAAAAGGAAACATGAGAATTCAACCTCCTGACGTGTTATTTTCACAACTACAGCAACTAAAACATAACGAGGCAAAGACCAGACCTTCAGCAAAGCCTGCAGAAGATCCCAAGAAGGCAACAGGCAGACTGCTTCTCCCAGAAACGCGATGAGGATTTGAAACACATCAGACCAGTATCCCATTGCAAGCATGAGGACAAGCAAGGCTCCCAGCCGCATAACTACAGAGTGCAGGAGGGCCGCTGTGCCTGTCTGCCGATGCTCATCCTCTGTAAGTACAAACAGAAAAGTTACACAATGATCCCAAAAAGCCTTGGCTTTGTGCTTACTGATTTTATAGGTTGTGTTTTTGCCATCAATTCTAAGTTTTTAATTCATATATGTTGCTTTTTACATTTATAGGGCTTCATTTCATCGCTTATGGTCTACTTTTATTTCTTAAATCCATATAATATTATTTAAATCTATTTAAATATTTTTATTATTACTTAACACTGCGTGGGTACTTTCCTCTCTGAGGATTAATTAAGTTCCACTCTCAGCAGCACTGACCATCACCTTGAATATACACGAGCAACATAATGTAACAGAGCGTCAGCAGAGTCCAGAACTTCATAGCATCCTTCTGGGACAGGAAGTGGTCATAAACTGTAGCGGTGGAAGCAACACTTGCTACAGCAAAAGCCAAGACAACCGCTCTTTGCAGTGAAGCCAGTATGGTGTGTCCGGAGGTTAGAAGAGTGATGCACTTCCCACAGTACTGTTTAGTGCTGTGCAGCGGGTAGAGTCTGGCCACATGGATCCACAGACTGTGGCTCAAGCTTGCCAGTTTCCAGCTGAGAGCAGCTGCCAGAAATAAGCTGAGGGAGCTGTGTGGAGCCCTCTGTTGGAGGAAGATCAGAGTGCCGGTGAGGCTACAACCCAGGGAGAACTGGCTCTGGATTAGGATCATGTCTAGACCTCTGCCACTGGCATCCTGCGTTAAGAGACGTGGATTAGAAATGTGTAATGAAAGAACACTCTAAAGCAGATACATAAAAGCATAAAACAATGCATAAATATAGCTGCAGTATTTGTTGAGGAGCTCACCAGTCCAGCTGACGCCCAGGTAGAAACAGCCCTGAGGGAAAACTCCAGCACTATCAGGGAGAAAACCCTCGAGCCCATCAGAGAGAGGAGGACAGTCAGAATCCAGAACTGGAGGGCTGATCTCCAGTTCCCTCTCAGAGACGTGCCCAGTGAGGATGACCTGGGTTTGCTTCCATTTCCAGAGTCAGAATCACTGTGTGCAGACAAAATAGAATAACTCCAACGCTCTTGAAAATCAAGCTATGCTTTCCCTTTTTCCTCTCAAAGGGTGAACTCACTTGGAATTTTGAACAAAATTGTAGACTCTCAGCAGGTTGTACAGCACTGATATTCCACATGCACCTACAAGCCCTTTAAAAAAAACACACAACCAAAAATAAGCCAGTAAAGAGGAGACATGACATTGAAAAGTGCTGAGAATTTAACCATAATCAGAGAAAACATGTTATCAGACCTTGAAGAAAGCAGTCAAATGGTTTTGAATCAAAAGGTGTCCATCCAGTGGTTCCCAGGATCAAGGGGAGAAACATCTTTATGATGTTCTTGTAACGTTTCAGCAATAACACTCAAAGTGGTGCTACAAATGAATGACTTTGCCCTTATTTCTTCGAGCTGATCAAGTTTTAGTAAGCTCCATCCACCCAAAGGTACAAAGGTGAAACGTGATATGGCTACAGCTTTTAGTCAAATCAATTCTTGATGAAAGGGGTTTCAAATCCTCTCAAGAAGAAACCTTTAACCCCAGTCAATTAAATCATTTCAAATAAACAGAAAACACCACAGATTACAATGGTTTTAAAGCAGTGTGTTCAAAAGATTCACCACCTCTCCAGAGAACAAAAACAAACCAGACAGGTTTCTTACAAAAAGTCTTTATTAGGACTGTTCATTGCTTTTAAAGTTTTAAGTACCAGTAGGTTAAATTTCTGCACATACAAAATTGAAATTACAAATGTCATTCTTGGCTTTAGTTACATAAGTTCAAGTCAGTGAATTTAAAAAAAGAAAATTCCATCAGGTTGTTTTTTTTAAATACAACAGACAAGGCATCTAGACAGTGTAATAAACATGGCAAACAATTGTTTGCTTTAATGATGATGACTTGTTCTTCAAGTTGACCGCACTCACACACTGATGAGTTAACAAGCAAATTCCTGCGAGACTTAAGGTTGAGGTATAAAAAAAACCCTAATCAAAAAATGTATACACTCGAGACATATTTTTAGAGAAAGATGTCTTCCAGTATGTGCATAACATGCCAGTCTTGATTAAGTGCTTCAAGTGTTCATTTTCTGTGCTAGATGGGAGAGAAAAGCTTGCACTTAAAGCAATAGTTTGACATTTTGTTCATGTTTCTTTCTGGAAAAGAGTAAGATCAGATGTTTGATATGGCACCCAGTGTCCGTTGGTTAAATATAAAGCCACAGCCAGCAGGCACGTGCTTAGCTTAGCATAAAGACTAAAAATGAAAGGCAACTGCTAGCTTGTCAGAGCTACCAGCAGCTATCAGTACCTCTAAAGTTTACCAGCATTTTATATTAGGTCTGTGTGTTTAATAAAAAGTGTTGAAACAACAGTTTGTTATTTTATATGCAATTATTATGCTTCTAAGGAGTTACCATTAACTATTTTATTAACTTTGCCCAGAGCTAAACTAGCTGTTTTTATGCTAAGATAAGTTAACCAGATGCTAGCTTCATATTAACCATAAAAACGTCCATGAACCGTCTCATTTCACTCTCGGAAAGAAAAGTAAATAAGTTTGCTTCCCAAAATGTCACACAGTTGCTTTAAATTCAGTGCTTCATTAACTGAGAGAGCACTCTAACAGCTGTAGCAGAGCCCAGTTGTGCTTTCAGTGTGCAAGTATGGGTGCTTCAGCTCTACTTATCCTTCACTGCTTGTTGCCTCATCAGATCCCAGAACAGCATGCTTAGCACCGTGTGCGGGGCCAGTCGCAGGAACACGGGGCCCATGCCTTTATACAAACCCAGCAGGCCCTCCGCTCTGCACACCTTCAGCATGCAGTCTGAAAATCCATGATACAGACGCCCCTACAAAACAGATGTAAAGAACACAGCAAGTCTTTCGTGAACTGAAATAAGCTGAGTTCCTTTATAGACACTCTACACAACACAATAAGATTCAAAGGCAGTTTCTCCTTAAATACATACCTAATATGAGAAAAAGATGAAATAATATATCTATAAAATATATAAATTAGATGATAAAGGTCAATACAAATATATAATATAGATGAAATGATTTCATATTGCTTTTTTTAATGTCGGTATGCTTTTTTTTTAGATTGTGAAACTAATGAAAAGGAGGACAACTGTGTTGAAGACAGACTCACCTTACGCAACTCATCCACCGGCTGGTTGTAGAGCCGAGTACTAATGACATCAAATGGTGTCATGGTAATGGCCACAGCAACTCCACTGACTGCAGCTGCCATCAAGACTGCGAGCCAGCTGTTTGGACTGAACCACTGAAAGGACACAAAGAAAGATGATCCGACTTTCAACGCATGGCAGCAGCTTGGTCACATATGACATAAAACCTTCGGCTCTTTAGATAACATTACCTGAGAATGTGACACCCATTCCTTAGCTGAGGTGAAGGTTGCCAGCTGGGCAGCTGATCCCACCATGACTCTAGGCACAGCCCCATTCACACCCCTCCAAAGACCAATTAAACCTTCTTTTCGATAGATGGTAACAAAGGCATCAGACACTCCCTGAAATAGAAGAAAACAAAGGCACTGGTGAGTAGAGGTTACAGATAATAACACTCAAAACCAGGTAACACTTTATAACACGGCTTGCAACTAAGGGTGTAATTCCCCTGTAATTAAATGGGATTTAAATTGCATTTAATTGCAATTACCTACAAATATTCAAAGGTAGGTACACTAGAATAAGAGGGTAACAAGTCAGGTTTTTACAGGAAAAAAAGAAATAATTATTCTGTAAGTTTATTCTTTATTTAAAATCTCTTTTTGTCACGGTTCTGGGTCTTTCTGACCCAGCTTTTTGAGTTCTTGTGTTTTTTCTTGGTCCTTTGTTGTACTGTCTTTGTTATTTCCCTAGGTTTCAGTTATGGTTATCATGAGTTTAGTTCTTAAGTTTAGTAATATGGCTTCACTGTGTTCCATGATGTCTACTGTGCCTTTCTGTACCATGTTTCAGGTTCCAATGTTCTGTCTCCCCAGTCCCTGTTAAGTTTACATGTCTGGAGTTCAGTCAGTGTGTTTCCTGTTTTACTTTGAAGGTCCGTGTCTCATGTCAGTGTTTCTAGTTTTGCTTCCCTTGTCTCGTCCAGCCTGATTACTCCCAGCTGTGCTCTCCTTCTGTGTCTCATTCCCTCGTTATCCCTCAGTGTATTTAAGCCCTGTGTTTCGCTTTGTCAGTGGCGTAGTTGCCCTCATGGCTGTGTGGCCATGTGTTTTAGTTAGCCATGTCCCAGTTTAGTTTTTGTGACATTCTGCAATAAAGCAGCTTTTTGAGTTTAATTCCTGTGTGGTAAGTTTTGCGTTTGGGTCCTTCTCCTGCCTGCACACAGCCAAAACCTGACACTTTTACTAAAATTTGTGAACAAGAATTTGCGAAAACGAATACCTTAGTAAAGTATTTGTCTAAAGTCAGAAATAAAGGTAATAATATTCAGGCAAAACATTCAGGCAGCCTGAAGTAACTTCATGCAACCCATTTAAATTTGCCTTGAATACATTAAGTCAGACCATCACTTTCTGTTTTTGTTAATTCTGCAGCTGATTCCAGGAGGAATTAGCTGCACATTTGAACATACACATGTATGTATGGAGCTGTATTTATTAACCTTTGATAATGCATTCATTTTGGCACTGTTTTTGATACGCTTTTCAGTTGGAGCCTGATCAATCCTGGCATTGCCAACTTAGAATACAGGACATGCCACTGATAGCTGAACCTGGCCATTCAGTATATTCAGGTGACCTCATTCTTTGGGCACATATCACTGGTGTAGACTTGACCAGCTGAAGCATCTGCAGATTATAACACTGCCCCTGCAGGTTCTTGCAGCAGGCCCTGAGCAGGCATGATGGGTGCATCACTTCATCTGCCTCTCTTCTTACGTTGATGGAGACATCACTGGGGAAGAGGATAAATCTGGACTCTTTAGACCACACGATCTGTTTCTATTGTTCCTGCCTTTTTTCCCCTGAGAGCACTCTTAGCACTTTTACATTTTTATGTTTATTTAAGCATTGTCTGACAGTATGTTTGCACAAAATACCGCAGCAATTTCCTAATGTTGTAAACCTGCTCAACATTTGGCAATAAAACCCTTTCTGATTCTGATAAGCCTTAAAAAGACTCAGCGATTTGTTTTAGTTTGCTTCACATCATGTGTGTTTGCAAATGTACTTTCAGTGTTAGACATATCCATGACTTGTGCTGATGACTTTTTTTATGATCTGATTTTACCAGATGTTTAAAGGATCTCCAATCACGATCACTTTTTTTCCAACCACATTTCTTCCTTTTTTGATGATTCATCACTATCCTCCCAGGTCCTTTCAGCCCCTTTACAGCCTGAACCAGGAAATAACTGCCTGAAATTGCATGGTTTTTTTTTTCTTTTTCTTTTTTGAAAATTGAGTGTTTAATGAACCTTCTGAATAATAATAAAAAAATTAATATCAATTAGCATATTTTAGTTTTAATTTGCTAGCTCTGGCATTTCGGACAGCTTTTATCCAGGTTTTGGTAGTTTCAGTAATCGCCTTGTCTTTGCCTGATGAAGGCAAATAATTTAACCCATCTTTTCCACAACCACATGATGCGTCTTCTGATATGGTTGTTTGATAAATGAGAAGCAGCTCACTACATCAGTTAGGTTTAAATAACCTGTATCCAGCTAAGCCATATTAATTATTGCAGTAAATATCCAGTGGAAGGCTCTTATTGGTTTGCTAAAGTAAATATAGGTGGAGCCTTTTTCTTTTGGCCGGGCAGATTATATGATCTGATGGTTAAAGGGCAGACACGTACTGTTTAAACACCATGCGTCTGCAGTTTTACTGTGCTTCTCTATAATTTAACTTATACTTTTAGTTTTATACTCTCACCACACTGCATTTTAGAGAAAAATATTAAATACATGTCAAATACAAGTTGTATCCATTTTTTGTTGAAAACACAGGTACATAATGTTATTGATACGCAGTGTTTATAATGACCATTTTCTCCTCAGGTGCCAACAATTAACGTTTTCATTATCAGCTTTCTATCTTGGTATGTCATATTAATGGGAGTGTTATGGGCTTCAAATTTTAATTACCAAATGAACACCTGATAAAAAATAAAAAAAAAGCACAATTATTATACTATAGCACATAGTTTACACCATCCTGGCCAGTTAATGTACTTTAATACACCTGTACTGACATCTTTAAACATTGAAACAGCTGGTAAGCTATTCTTGTGTTTTATGTGAAATGTGTCCGTCTTACCAGGTGGTTATGCTGGTGACCAACTGCAATGGC